TTAGATTTATTCCTAAATATATCACCTTTGAGGCAATTATTGTAATTGCCATTGTTTTCCTTAGTTCCATTTCAAAGCTCTCTTTGTTAGAGGAGAGGAAACCAACTGATTTTTGTGTTTTGAACTTGTAACCTGCCAGTTTGTTGTTGTTGTTATGATGTGCTGTTAAGTCACCTGTTACTCATAGTGATCCTATGTACAACAGCCCTAAACCCTGCTCTACCCTGTGCCAATCTTACTGTTTCTGACATACCTACCACCATTACCCTGGTCAAAAAATCAGTTCATCTCGAGGGTCTTCCTCTCTTGCACTGTCCCTTCACCCTCCCAAATATGACATCCCTCTCCAAGGACCAGTCCCACTTTGCAACATGTCCAAAGTATGTCAGATGAAGCTTCAGAATCCTTGCCTCTAAGGAGCAGCCTTGTCTCATCCTCTCTAATTTGAACCTGTTTGTTCTCCTGGCAGTCCATGGTATATTCAGTACTCTTCTCCAGCACCACACAACTAAAGGCATCAGTTCTCCTTCTATCATCCCTAGTCATTGTCTAGCTTTATGACGCATAGCAAGTAATTGCAAAAACTATGGCCCGGGTCTCTAGACTGACATCGTTGTTCTTCAGTACATTGGAGAGGTCTCTAATATTTAAGACTGCAGTCCCTGACCTTTTACAGCAAGTGTTTCAGGTCCTCCTCAGTTTCAGCAAGCAGGGTTGTGTCATCTGCATAACGAAGATTGCTTATGAATCTTCCTCCAATCCTGATGCCACACTTCTCCTCATAGAGCCCAGCCTCCTGGATAATCTGTTCTGCATATAGATTAAAAGGTATAGATATAGGACACATCCCTGGCGTACACCCTTCCTAATTTTGAACCATACAATGTTTTCTTGCTCTGTTCTGACAGCTGCCTCCTGGTCCAAGTATAGGTTTCACATTAGCATCATCAAGTGTTCTGGAATTCCCATTCTTCTCAGAGTCAGCCACTGTTTGTTGTGATCCACACAGTCAAAATGCCTTTGCATAGTCAATGAAACACAGACATTCCTCTGGTACTCTCTGCTTTCAGCCAAGATACATCTAATATTTCTTGCAGAATCTTTGATATTGTCTATATAAGAATCACATCATCTAATCCCAGAGGCATGCAGTTCAAATCCACCAGATGCTCTGCTGGAGAAGGAGGGGCAATCTCTTCCTGTACCAGTCAGATCCAGTTTGACAGTACACACACACAAAATAATAAAAAAATTTAAAAAAAAAGAATCGCATCATCTGCAAGTGGAAATAGCTTTCCTTTGTTTCCCCATTTGGCTGCCTTCTCTTTCCTACCTTACTGCTCCAGCTCAGAGTTCCAGTACAATATTGAATATAGTAGGTGCCATTGGGTTGGAACTGTCTCAGAGCTGATTGTCTAGCAGGTTTGCAGTGGCAGAGAAGGTAAAACAGGAGATTGCCTGTCTTTCTCCTGTGAAGCAGCTGGTGAATCCAAACCATGAGCCTTACAATATTGAATAGGAGTGGTGATAATGAACATCATTTTCCAGTTCTCATTTGCAAGGGAAATGCTTTCTCTCTGTCTCCATTGAGAATAATGTTGGCCATTGGTTTTGTTATATACTCCTAATTATGTTGAAGAATTTTCTACTCCTATTACTGCATGTTTTTATCAGAAAAGGATCATTTTGTCATGTGCCTTTTCTGAAAGAATTGACAAGATGATATGATTCTTTTCCTTTGTTTTATTGATATGTTTGATTACATTGTTTTTATAATTCTGAACCATTCCTGCTTACCTGGTGTGAATCCCACTTGATCATGATGATTGATATTTATATATAAAATAATGGATTTTATTGAAGATGTTTATATTTACATCAGTGTTCATAAAGGGTATTGGTCTATAATTTTCTTTATTTTTTAATATTTTTTTATTAATTTTAATGAAAATTTACAAAGATTTCGGATTTTCATTCATTCGTTGTTGCCCTTTTCTCCCTGCCCACCCCTCTCCCCTGTAATTTTCTTTTTTAATGATGTCTTTGCCTAACTTTGGTATCAGGGTTATGCTTACCTTGAATGAACTCAAGAAAGTTCTGTATTTTTTATTCCCTCATTGTCTATATTCTTTATTTACATATCTTTTTTTTAAATGCTCAAACAAAACTTAA